TTTCACATGTGCTAGGTACGTAAACAAGTGTCGTTCTATGATGAAAAGGCAATAGGCTCTAGGCTGTAGAAATCCTTTATACAATAAAGCAGTTCTGGCATGGTATTAATGTGAAAATCAGTTCCGCATCATTATTCCATGAAAATTGATTGGTGAAAACTTGTGTCATGAGACCGATGTACTAACGGCTACAAAACTTCGTCTCGTCATTTGCAGCGAACATCGATTTCATTCTTAATCCCTGTATGTTAAAAAACAGGGAGTGTATTAGGCATGGCAGATTTCATTTTGCAACATTAAGGGAAAGCAGCAAATAAGGCCGGCCACATTTGAAGTATTTAGAAACAGTTGTTTTCATCAAGCGGCAGCAAATTCGATTTAATTGGTAGGATTGCTATCGCTTCCAATGACGTTGATGTTTAGATCGACAGTTATGAACTCGATTGTATTTTTTCTGTCAGATTAATTTAGTATAGATAGCATTTTGTAACCAAAGGCGAAAAACAATGTTTGAGCAGCATACAGTTTTGGTTTCAAAGAGGCAACCAAAAATAAGCGCTTATTCATACTCTTCCCCAATTGGCACCGCCCACTGACTGTAGACGCGTTTCATATAAAATATCATTCCCTGTCTTACACTCCTACAGCGTTCTCTTTCCATGGATCGCCAGTATGTCCAGTCTGCACCGGCCGACCATGCGACATGTGATTCAGCCTACTCTCACTGGATAAATAACGATCATTCAAACATACAACATAGCCGCAAATTTCGCGGTTTAAAGTTATGTCTTCAGCTATATATGGGAGCCGCTCGTAAATTCGCTCATTTCATGTCGAGTAGTGTCTTCACTGCCACGCGCTAGGAATATAACCCAACAACCGACTCTAGGCGCTATAGACTGCTGCGGAAACGCTTATAATGCTTCTCGGAGGCAGGTTTCTCTGCCGGATGCTTCTAAATATTTTATTCCCCTGAAAGACGTCTACTGCAACAGACGGTTTCAACAAGAAAAGTGTTTGAACAAATATTAATACCCTTTGAAGAGTTTTAAACTCTCTTTTTGTTTATCTCTTAGTTCTGACATTAGTCTTATCCTGAAGTAATCAAAGCCTGTTGGTTGATTACGCCATTGTTATCATTTCGCTTTGAGGATAAGTCTATCTGGTGGGGAATATCGTTTGTTATGGTCGAATTGAACGTATACGTCGAAATGGCAACATGGTTCACTTCTGTATGCCTTTGGTTCGATAGCAGCGACACTGGAAGAAAGTTTGGCCTTTTTGTTCAGATTGCCCTTAGAGTTTGTAAACTCTGGTAGTCAAGTCAAGTCAAGTCAACCGTTTGTCATTGGTCGTTTACAAATTGTATTTTAAGATTACCTTGGACGCAAGTACCATGACCCCTTCCCTAATCATTTTTCTATGTCATTTTCAACATTTATTATGCTTGCTTGTGATTACGCGTACGGCATCCTCTTGAGCTTGTGGTTGTCGTTTTGGGTTTTTATTGTTTATGTTACTTAATGGCTGTGAATTGTTTAACCGTAAACTAATACTTCTTATTTTGACAGGAATCACTGAAACTGTTCGGCTGTCTTTATACGTGTTGGTCTTATGAGCCAGTTTCGCTGCTTGCCCTTTGTCTGCTGACCCAAAATTATGCGCATGCGGCTGATCTCGTCGAGCGTTTGTACGTGTATTTTACGTCGCTAAATTAAATACCTTCTTGTGGTTATTTCTTGACCTGTATCGTTCACTTTTCTTTCAGTAATACATATTTAAGCTCTCTACCTTTCGCGCAGCAGTGGCTTTAAAAATGAAAAATATGACAGTAGTATTCATTGGTGTACCTGCAGATCTCTACTGTTTTTACTAGGTATCACTTTGTAGCGATGCCCAGATTTCACTGTTATATCGTTTCTC